GGTGAATATTTTTAACGAAGTACCAGATCAGGGTTGTATCTTAAGTAAAGAACCTAATATTCGCAAAAAACTTTTTGTGGTTGTCCTTTCCCAATATTTTCACTTAAAAACATGTTTATGATGAGTAAATGCAAGGAACCTTAACGCAAATATTTCAACTCTAAATATAAATTAAGCGTCTCCGAATAAACGTGCTCACTTTCGTTTGCGGAGAAAGTGCTTCTCTCTATAGCACTCGCTCTTTGCGAACAATTACACAATGTTTCTCGCACAAGAGATGAATAGAGCGTTGATAATTTCATTTTCAATCCGTGCGGAACATGTTTGAAAATGATTTTCAACGCGGAACGTTTAATATTTGTTGAATATTTACACGCACAAATCATATTAAGGTGCTTTTTCACATTTCCGACGTGTGAGAAGTTTATAGAGAAACTTATATGTATTTTTGTTATTACATGCATTAATGTAGCTGACAGAATGTAATCAGTACAAATGAAATAAATAAAGTAATGAATGTTTAAGTTCGACCAACACTTTTGCTTTTTGCTGATATACTTGAAAAACATTTTAACTTCAATATAATAAATTTACCAAAAACAAAACTAGTGGTGCATGGCATCGAGCCTGAAGGTAAATTGCTGTAATTTCCCGTATAGTTTTTTAAAAAATTTAAAAGCTCATAAATAAAAAATTAGTTTTTTGAGAATTTGGAATTTTTTTGATCATTTTTGAAAATTTTGAAAAATTAGAAAATTTTAAAAATTAAAAAAAAAATGGACAACCCCTTTTTTAAAAATACTGATCTTTTTTTAAAACTTGAAATTTTTTAGAATTTTGAAATTTCTTGAAAGTTTTTGATTCACGTCGCAAAAATTCTGGATTTCCTAAACTGCTAGACCTGCCTTTGCAAAAATCTAATCAATTCTTCGTTATATCAATACAAGTAAAATGGTTTTCAAATTATTTAGATCGGTTGCTCCGTTCTCTCACAAACTTAAATCCAATTTTCTGAAATTTTTGCTCCGTATCTCCGAAACGGCAGAATCTGCCTTTGCCAAAAACTAATCAGCATCTCCCTATGAATAGGTATCGAATGTTTTTTAAATAACTCAGATCGGTTAATCGGTGTTCTCGAAAACGTCGACGAAAAATTGTATCCTTACATACATACATACATGCATACATGCATACATGCATACATACTACATACACACATACAAGAACACACAACCATTTTTTCTGAGGTATACCAAAATGTTCAGAAACCTCTGAAAGGTAAAGATATGCAAAATTTTTCATTCTCGATTTTTGAACGATTACTATAACTTAACCAACGGTAAGTTAATTATATCCCAAAATGTCACATCTCAAGTAATTTTGTAAGTTCCGAGCAATCGACTTTCTTCACAATAAATTAAAGCACTTAATCAGCATAAACTTTGCAAAGAACCAAAATCATAAACATTTCTTTTCAGAAAGTTGCACTTACATAAACATTTATGACTTTGAATATGTAACAACTACACCTGAAATTCTAAATCCAATTTTTTGCGAAATAGAGGCCTTGATTTATCAATGATGCGAACAATTTTTAAATTGTTCGCATTTTTGGAAATGCAATACATATATCGCAGAATTTGTATGGATGAGACAAACTGTAAATTAATTTTTCAAAATTAAATAATTATGAATTCAAATAGTTCATACCGTCTCAAAATAAATATCTTTAATTTGTTAAACAACAAATGCTCGCTAAATATTTTTTTTTACATAAAAATGTTATATTTACTAATAAGCAAAACTATTTTGCGAACATCATGGACGAATGTTTATTTAAAAAAATAATTAGAATTTAATAATTTGGCAATTCACATTATTATTTATATATTCCGTAATAAAAAGATAATATTATTTTCTTCGCAACTTATATTCTGATTATACTAAACTAATTCAATTCACGACACATTAATTTTTATTTCGATGTGGCTGTTGCACAAAAATGAATTATTTATAATCAAATGTCAAATTAGGCATTCCAAAGTGTAGGCCCCATATAAATATAATTTTTTTGTAACAAAACTAGTTATAAACTAGAAAATGAAATAAATATGCCGTTACGTGTTAACAAACAGGAACTTCTAGTCAAATATTATTGCTCCTGAAAGGATCCGAATTTTATGGCTCTAGCCATCGAGTTATTGGTACAATAATTTATATAACCAGTATCGGTGCGCATACCTTCTATAGTAGTAGCATAGGAAATTTAGAAAATAATCTGTCGTCGACGATTTGTTATATTTTAAATTAAAACTTTTAATATTAGAATACTGATTTTTAATGGCATTGATGACATTATAATATCTAAAAACGTTCATTAGAAAATTCAATAAAATGTGAGTTAAAGTACATACATAACATAATAGAACCGGGTTTTTATATTTAATATATGTAATTCTTGCGCTTAGTCATATAATTATAAACTAGAGGTGCATGGCATCATGCCTTAAGGCAAATCACTGAAACTTCCCGTACCAAAAATTATTTTTTTTTAAAAAAAACTGAAAAAATAGATTTCAGAGAATTTTGAAATTATTAAAAAAAAAAGATTTTTGAAAAGTTTTAAACTTTTTTTTATATTTTGCGCTCAGTCATATAATTATTAACTATCGGTGCATGGTATCGTGCCTTAAGGCAAATCACTGGAACTTCTCGTACCAATTTTTTTTAATTGAAAAAAATAGATTTCAGAGAATTTTGAAATTTTTGAAAAATTGTCTTTTTTAAGATTTAAACTTTTTTATATTTTGAAATTTTTGTAAAATTTTGAACTTTTATCAAAGCAATCGGCGCTGCTTAGCTGTTTTAGAGACGCAATGTCGAAGAGCGTAAGTCGTTCCCATAGAAATGGTAAAACTAAAGTACTTATTATTAAAATGTCTATAAAATATCTGATAATTTGATGTGCATATGTATAATGATCATTTTTGACCGCCAAATGGCATTTTTACTTTCTCTAAAGGATCTCCGAAACCGCTAAACCTACGTTTCTAAAAAATAATCAGTTCTTCATTTTGTCAACACAAACAAAATGTTTTGAATCATTCAAATTGGGCGGTCCGTTCTCTCAAAAAAGGAATTGCCATTTTGGGCACTTTTTGCCTCGTATCTTCGAAATGTCTGGACCTGCCTTTGCTAAAAACTGATCAGCACGTCTCCCCGCCAAAAGAAATCTAATGCTTTTTAAATTATTCAAATCGGTTGATCAGTGAAATCGTCGATAAAAATTTGTATCCGCACACACACACACGAACATCAATTTTTTCTAAGGCATGCCAAAATGTTCAGAAACCTTTGAAATGCAAAGATATAAAAAAAAATCATTTTCATTTTTTTTTCGATTACGGTAACTTACCCTAGGGAAAGTTAATAACTGAAATCACAAAATTTCATTATTAAAGCAAAAGATTTTTTCATGACTTTGAAATTCAAATTCATATGTCAATGCCTCATATTTTAGAATAAGCATAAACAGTTTCTATAGATAATTGTTTGAACATGTATCAAAAAAATAATTGGTATCAGTAATATATTAAATTATGCCAGTTTGTAGCATAAACCAAAAGAATGTTGTGATTGTTTCGTAGAACGTTCAAAGCTCCCTGGCTACAAGCGCATCGCCTATCAGCCCAACAGGGAATTTATTCCGATTACGAAACGAGCAAGTGAAGAGAGTCGATTCAACTGACCGTATATCCGTGCGAGACTTATTGTTAGGGAAACGAAAACCTCGAACAATTGCATCATACCGTGTGGAAAAAATAATAAATACCTAACTCGAAAAGCACCCAATTTCGGCGGCGATGCCGAGATAAACAAGTCGAAAAATTGACGTTCATGAAGCTAATTATCCAAATTAATTAAAATCTGCATATACTATATATATATATAATATATATATATATATATATATATATATATATATATATATGTACATATGTATATATATACATATGTGATAATTTTTTCGGGTGGTGATAAATATGTTCATAAAACAAGCATCCATCCAGATATAAAAATAAAAAAAACTAAATTTTGTTTTTTAAAAGTGAATTTAATGGTCCATACTTTTCGAATGTGACGTCTTTGAATGGTTCATACGTTCCCAATTTGACTATTCTTCAGTGGCAATAGAACAACACAAGTAAATATGCTCTAAACACTAAACAAAAGTTACATATAAAAATTGTTACTTGGAGACATGTTAAAATAATAAAAATAAATATGAATTGTATTTATAAAATAATTTAAAAAAATGAACCTTCCATCTCAAGGAACAAACTACAACTATCACACAGTTTAGTGTGGTCCTTAATATAGATATTTACGAATTTCTTTGCTCCCAGGGGCTCCAATACTTCCAAATTGATAAAATAAAATTCTTTGAAAGTATTAGCTGTTAACTTGAAAATAGTTTGCACTCCAACCTCCAACCGCAGATTTTGATTTTTGGCCGATTGATTCTGTGCGATTTTATTTTGAAATTGTAACTGGTTTTGTGTGGACTTCAGACTACCAACGTATCTATATATGCGTTATAATATTATAACTGTTGTTGAGAGGTAATTAACCAATAACGAATAAGAAGCGGCAGTGTAGAGTAAGAGCATAGATTTCCCTGTCCCACATCCATTTTAAATTATACCATGTTTTACTAACATTTTCACTAACATCCCTCATAAACTTAGTATCGCATGATGTACCTGGGTATACGAAGAAATCATAATTAACTAACCTCTTGTGACTGATTCTGAGTCAATCTTCATCCTCATCACACATTTCACTAATCAGTAGTTATATCAATTTCCAAACACAGTCCTCAAAATTCTTTATTCAATTAGTATTCATAAAATAATAATTCGAGCGCCTCTTAAATAAATTTTTATAACAATAATACTGCTATTATCAGCATTACTTAATTATGAAAATATCATGCTTACCATCGCTTTCATCTTTGGTAATAATCACAACTGCCCCACCTGCAAATAAAATAAACATTATTATTTCAATCGATATAATTAGTTGAGCAAATAATTAAATTAATAATTAATGCAGCAGGAGATTTTATTTTACAATAATGAAACAACAGGTTCCTTAATAAATATTAAAGTCTATAGCAAAATTAGCTATAATAAACGTTATTATTATTATTATATCGGTTTAAAATTTCATAAATCTGCGTAGCATCTAATCTATTGTGTAAAAAAAATCACAAACTGAAATAGAACTAGTGGTGCAACGAATTGCTGGAACTGCCCGTATAGTAATTAATTTGCGAAATGAAAATATTCAATTATCAATAAAAACTTATCAATGAGTAATAACAGTTGTATTAAAAATACTTCGTCGGCATATTTTATAAACATAACATAATATATTTGGGCGACTACTTTATCTATGTTTGTCTAAAAGAAAGAAAACAATATGCTTTTTGAATCACTCTAATTGGATGCGCCCTTCTCTCAAACACTGCTATTCTTGGCACTGTTTGCTCCATATCTCCGAAACCGATGGACCATCGAATGTTTTTTGAATCATTCTAATCGAATGTGCCATTCTTTTGAAAATAGTTGTTTTGAGCTTTTTGTTCTGAATTTTCGGAACAGCTAGGCTCGCTTTTGCCAAAAACTATTCACCAAGTTTCACCTTCCTTACGAATCGAAAGTTATTCAAATCGGTTGATCCGTGTTCCCGATATCGTGAACGAAAAATTGTATCCAAACATACGCACACACACATCCATTTATTCTAATTTTATGGTATGCCAAAATGTTCAGAAACCTCTGAAACTTAGATATGCAAAAAAAAATATTTTCGTTTTTTTGCGATTACTATAACTTACTCTACGGGAAGTTAATAATATGAGTGTTGAAACTGTTCTTTATTGTTTTTAAAAAATAAACTATAAAAATGTTCTACCAATTTCCAAGCTATATTTAAATAAAATAATTAAAAAGTAATAGAAGAAATATATGATATTTAAAAAAAATAGCTTTTTTAAACCAAAGCCCGTTGATGTTATATTGCACAAAATTACTAACACCGTAATTTTGGCATAACTCTAGGTAAAAGTTCAACCAATCATTCATTTCAATTAACAATACATCTTCGAAATAGTTAAAATTTTGTGAGAAATGTGTTATAATAATCGAATTTCGACCTCAGCATGGATATGTTAGAAATAAAAAGAAAACCCTTCTACTAATATAATTCCTTCCGAGAAGATATAACCCATACAATAATGAGAATATTGTGAATAAAACACGCGATATGCGCGGGGGCTCTTCCAGATTCGTCCGTCTCTTTCGTGCACAACGTATAACCGGGCATGGTGTGCGAACGAGAGAACATCGCGGCCGCCGCGGTGCCCGGCGAAGTGTGTCAAGGACAGGAGGGCGTGCAAGCGCGGAGGAACCCACGGACCGTCCGAAAAATTCGAATTACGTGTACTAATAAGATGATAATAATTAAAGGAGCCATTCATTTTATGGATCCGTAGTGCTAATTGCAATAACAAGATAGTGGCATCGTGCCTTCAGGCAAATTGCTCGAACTTCCTGTACCGAAAATTAAAATTTTTAAGAAAGCTTTAATAACAGATAAACATTGGTACAGAACCCATAGAAATGTAAACAAAATTTTGTACTTATTATTAAAACCTCTATAAAATATCTGATAATTTGATGTTCATATAATGGAACATTTTTGACCCCCAAATGGCAATATTTTTAACTTTTTCATTGGATCTGCAAAACCTTCCCAAAAATCAGTTCTTCATTTTTTTTTAAAACAAGTAAAATGTTTTTTTAAATTACTGAAAAAAACACTCTCAAAAACTGATTTACTATTTTTGGCACTTTTTGTTCCGTATCTTCGAAATGACACCAGCACTTGCCAAAAACTAATCAGCATGACTTCCCATCAATATGAATCAAATGTTTTTTGAATTATTGAAATCGTTTGATCCGTGTTCCTGAAATCGTCGACAAAAATTTATATTACGAGTATACACACATCCATTTATTCTCAGGTATGCCAAAATGTTCAGAAACCTTCAAAACGTAAAAATATATAAAAATTTTCGTTTTCGATTTTTTTTATTTCGTTTGCGATTACTATCTTACCCAACGGAAAGTTAAAAAAAAAATGAAATGGCAGAATAGCCATTGAGGGGTGCAGCGTCTTATATTTGGATGGTAAATAACAAAGTTTAATCATTATATTGATCTGTTTAATTTACTATTATCAGACTCCTTGTTTATTGAAATACAATTAATACAAATAAAGTGACTATAACATTATAACTATTATTATATTAATCGTACGAAGCTTTGTCAGAAAAATTCATCACCAAAATTGCAACAACTATAAGTTTTTAACTTATTATTATTATACTATAGTTAAAAGTTAGGGTGGTCATTTTTACCCCAAATACATCTAGTAAACTATTTTAAAGGTTATATGAAAAACTGTTGAATATAATTTAGATACGATGCTGAAAAATGATCACAGCATTCCATAAAACTACATTTTAATATTGGTTATTTTTAATACAATACTTTATTAATTACTTTGATATAATAGTATATGAATCTATACGAGTAAATATACACATTTCATAAAGTAACATCGAAGCCAATTTGCTAAACTTGCTAGAATAACGTTGATGCTGACATTTAACACTTATATATAAAAGGAAACGAAAAAAATAAAAATTCGAGTTAATTCACAAGACGTAATATAAACTTTTATTTAACAAAAAATAATAAAAAAATCGGTTTTTAATTTAATATTTTCTGAAACAAATATGTACAGCATAGTCACAATTTTAAGCAAAAATTATAAGAATTTTAGGGCTATATGAAATGACCATAATAGCTAGAATTCGTAATTCTCAAACCATGTTAGAGAACTCACATAGATTATAAGGTTTATTTTTTGTAAGTTTGGGGTCCTTGTTCTACCCCGATAAATTATAATTACTTAATAAATATAAGGGTATGACCCGGGTTCAAATCCACGTTTTGCGCAACCTGATATGAAGCAATAGTGATATCTATTTTCATTTGATAATATAGATCAAAATATGTTTTCAAATAAAAATATCCTTTCCAAGCATTGCTCCGACAAAGTTAAGATATATCTTTACTACTAGAAAAAGGACAACGTGCATAGGACGCCTTGGTTCATCCTAAGCCTAAGTTCGTTAACAAAAGCATTATAAGATGCATGACGCAATTAATAATGCACCTCGTGCTCCCCAGCATATCTGTTATAGAAACTAACATCGTATATATTTGAAAACCATAACACAAATAGCAATATAAATATATTTTACACATAAAATAGTAGAACAAGGACACGTATCATATCAAAAATAACATTGACCTCGAACCTAAATACTGTTTGTTTGTAAAATCTTTGAAAACAGTAGCAAATTCTTATCAAAATAGAATGTTGCAAACTAATCACACTAAACTTGCCATTAATCTTCGTTTGGGCTTCCTCGTGGCTTAGTGCTTGATGCTTTGGCCATCCAGCAGATGGTTCTAGGTTCAATATCCACGTCGGAAAGTCTATGTTAACGAGTATTGATATCGGTTTTTACTTCAAAACATAGATAAAAATATGTGTCCCAGTGCAAAAGTCCTTCTCTGGCATTGCTGTAGCCAATAAAAGTCATCGGTAATAAAAAAGTTCTAATAAATAAAATAAATCAAATAGAGATAGGGCAGGCAACCTAGTTCGGTAGCCTTCTAAAAAGCCATGTAGTTAAGAAATGTCATCACAAAAGCTCCCAAGTTCTGATAGTTGCTCTAGCAAATAAAAAAGGTCTTTAGAGCCCAAGCCTGATTGTGAGGTAAAAACATAGCATCGTGCATGTCTCTTCTATGACGTAACCTCGCAGAATGCGAACGCTTGTCCTATACTAGACTGGGGCAGTGGATCATATATATAATGCATACAAGTGTTAATAAATAATACAACTATTATATGCCGAGATAAACATCGTTATTATCTGACACTATCGATAATCTTCAACCTGTTTAATACATGAATCCATTCATGCGCATTCGATAGTGTGGATACGAGACTGAATTGATTCAATATCATCGTTCTTCGACTAATAATCATCCGCGTTTTTGCTAGTTTTCCTATAATAACCAAATTGATTGATTGATCTTAGTTTTGATTATGAATTAGATTTTCTTAGAAATAGACTAGTTTTTGATATAACAATGTTATTTCAGAAGTAATATATATTCATTATCAACATATGAGTAAAAGCATTTTTTCTAGCCATTAAGTGCGTTGCTGTTTTAATTTATAAAATTAATGCTACACCACCACACCAAAACGTGTTATCAGATAATTAGTTAATATATAACGTTTTCTCTACAAAATAACTATGCTGTTTGATATCTACCTGCAGCTCCTACCATATTTTATTTTACTTTTATAAAATATTTGAGGTATTAGGTTATTATCAGTCTATTTCGATTGAAAACCAATTCATTGTCATAAAATTGTGCATAAAAATTTATAGAGCACCTCTATCTTCAACACCACTTATCAAATCGCCCAATGTGATCAGAGACAAATTAATTTGGTTTCCAATTAGTTCTCAAATTTGATCAATTACAATATTTCCAGAAACAATCTTCAAGAGTATTCCATTTTGGCATTTTGGTCTTTGATTATCGTGTTTTATAATATCGTATAGATTAGTTTTCGTACTTAGCAGTCTCACGAAGATATTTGATTGCGCGGTCAAGAAAGCGTAAAATTACAGTCAATTTGGATTGAAACAACAGGGCAGAACGAAAACGCCGAAAATATCACACAACTCAGATACACAACCAAAAACAATACACACACAGATATATATATATATATATATATATATATATATATATATATCCATCTTTATACATAATAAAGCCGCTTTACTGCTGTAATTTTATATGAGCTAACACAT